GGTGTTGACTTCGACACAGTCTTCACATTCAGATTCTGGCGATCACTCAATCCGTGCACCTCTTCCTCCTTCGAGTGACTCTCAGTCTTGTCGTCCGAATCGCTCTCTTCGTCCTCCGAGTCATGGGCGCGAAGAAAGGCATCGCATTTGACGAGACCTTCGATGTGCTGGTCGTCCGACCCGTGGCTGTCGTCCCGACCCTCTTCTCGACTCACATCGGGAACCGTTTCTCCACACTCTTCGTCTTCCTTGCGATAGTCTTCGCGGTTATACTCCTGGAGTGCATCACAAGACCTGTCCATTGATTGGGAACTCATTGTGTGAACAGTTGTGAAGACTTCGATGACTTGTGTAACGAATCGAATGATTGAAGCGTTCAGTCAAACCGTATATTCGCGAGAAATGGTATAAAAGGCATAGATTTCTATAAGAATTGCATACAAACTGTACGATAAATCATAGTCTTATTATCATTCAAATATGCTTTTTATTGAATGCTTTACAGTTTTGATTGCAAATCTGTGTCTCTTTTACTATTCACTCCTTATTATAAAATCATTTGAATTTGAAATTCAAATTTTCAATTATTCTGTAATCTCGAGACCTAACCATGAAATCCATGAAAAACGCCAAATATTACGATTGGAGTCTCGTTTTTCAACAATAGTTGAAAAGTTGAAAACTTTTCGGTTTATTAGAGTTTATACTCAAGAAGAGATCGGTTGCTGAGAGAGACATGACTTCTGAGAAGACATTCACTTTGAATCCAAAAGAGTTGAAAGTATTGACGCGGAAGGGCTATAAAGTGGACGACCGGTCGTTGAGTTGTGGAGCCTATGCCACGGTATTTAAGGCTCGCGCCAGTGCGGACAACAGCCGGTGTGCCGTCAAAGTGATTGACTGCGCGAAGGTGTCCGAAGACTATCGCCTCAAATTCCTTCCGCGAGAGCTCTACGCTCTGTCACATCTCAATCACCCATTCATCCCAAGAATGTATGACATCTTTTTGGTGAATAATCGCATGTTTGTGGTGTTGGAGTTGGCAGAGGGCGGGGATCTCTTGGATGTCATCAATGACTACCGAAAGGCCAAAGAGTTTATGCCCGACAAGAAGGCGCGGGTCCTCTTCAGACAGGTCTGCGAAGCGCTCCATTTTATCCATACCTCCGGTTTCGCGCACCGGGATATCAAATGTGAGAACATTCTGTTAAACGGTACCAAAACTGTGGCCAAACTGACAGACTTTGGATTCGCGCGGACCTGTTATGACAACAGCACCGGTAGACGACTGCTGACTATGACTCAGTGCGGAACCATTGGTTACGCCTCACCCGAGCTCTTGAGCGGAGATCCCTTCGACGCCATGTTAAGTGACAACTGGTCGATGGGGATCGTCCTCTACGTCATGGCCACCAACCGATTGCCTTTCAATACCCGTCACATCCGCAGCAGACAACTCAAGAAGAAGTACAAACTCGACGACCAAAAACAGATTCACAGCGACTGCAAAGACCTCATCTCTAAGTTATTAGAGCCCATAGTTAAGGACAGACTCAAGATGGAGACCGTACTGACCCACAAGTGGATCAAAAATGTCAAAACCATAGTCTAGTGGTAATGTACATCCAAACAGTCAGAGTCTATGATCATATCATTTACAATCTAAAGAGTGTTCAAAGTATATCTCAATTGCCAACCAAACAAATATGAAGTTATTTTAATTCTCAATAAAACTCTATTTTTCACTCTTATGTGTCTAATTGCTTGTCATTTAAGATAATGTATGTCATTGACAATAATTCTCTTTAATATCATTGAATAGTTATTTTATATTGAATTCTAATCATTGAATTGAAGTTTCTTATAAAACAAATACTGAAAAGTTTAAAAAGGGTTAAACAATTGAATGAAATATTTATTTAATTTATAAGTACAGATAAATTGCTGCAATTTTGAGTTCACTGTACTATAGTTTAAAATAATCAGTTGTGAGAGAAGTTTATTGTAAACTTGAGAGAGAGAGAGAGAGAGAGAGAGAGAGAGAGGTTTAAAAGTGATGCCATTTATATAGAAAAGCCATTATCTCCGGAATAATACTTCCCATGACATAGAGTCTCCTCCACAGCACATGCGCTCTCACTCTCCATCACATCTAATATAGTGTTCTCAATGCTATTCATTTGATTTGATGTGAAATTTAATAAAATTGTGTCCAATTATGCCAAAAAATTGCTATCAAATTAATTAGAAAATTGTGCAAAATATTATTATTTGGACAAAATATTCAGCAAAATTTTCTGTATCATTAAATCTTAATTTGTTTATAAAAACTTGTTTATCATTATATTTACATTGATTGTAATCTTAATAATAATTTAATTAATACTGTTTTCATGATATTAGAATAGTTATGGAATTATGTGTTTCTTGTGTTGCAATTATTACTGATTTTTATTTCTTGAATTCATCTCATTTGAAGTCCAACTCTAATATGAAGCACTCGACTATGGCATCAAACACTACAAATGATTCTTCATTTAAGTCTAAATATTTGTTTTATTTATATTTAATGAGAAGATCTTTTTTGATTTAAATTAAAAACTATTAAAAATTATTGCTGAATAAGAAAATTGTTATAAATAGAGACAATGAATGGCCTTAATATATAAATGATTAATCAATAGCCATATGTACTGTTGATAAGAGTGCTAAAAGAATCGTTGACTTCGTAACCAAGTCTTCCATATAATATAGAAAATGTGATATTTGAGTCGATATTATCTCAAAAGTTATCAAGTCTTCCAAGTCTTTAACGTCTTCCATGAGATTCTTCGGCTAAATATTATTATTCTTACAAATATTTGTCTTCCAATTCGGCTAAATATTAATGAAGTTGTGATAATCTGAACCCTAAACCAAACAGCAATAAAACAGTTGAAGAGAACCGGAATATTCTTGTAAAATAATTGGCTTAAAATTTGTTTTACTTTTATATTGCATTAAATAACGAACAAAAAAATGGAGCAAAAGTTGGGACAACTGATGGATGTGTGGCACACCATCCACGACAAAGTGCAGAGCCATTTGCCCGCCTCTTGCACAGAGGGTGGAGAACAAGTGCACTTCAATAGACACGGACACTCTCGAGGAGATCATGAAATGGCGTCCTTCAGGAGCTTCGAAAGACCCGATGGTCAGACGGCACCCCCAGAGGGTTACGGCGAATACAGCGAAATGGATGAATACGAGGGGAAAATGAATGGAATGGTTAATAACGAAGGGATGGGTGAATTTGGCGGCGAAATGGGTAAACCGGGGGCTAAGTTATCTGAATGGCAGGCCGGTTGGAACGTAACCAATGCTATACAAGTATACCTACAACTAATCAACTAATAGTTTATAGTTTACTCACAATTTGAAAATTTTATCTCTTTTTAGGGAATGTTCATTGTGTCGCTTCCATATGCAGTTTTACACGGAGGTTATTGGGGCGTGGGTGCCCTGGTATTTGTGGCATACATATGCTGTTATACCGGCAAAATATTGGTCGACTGTCTATACGAACAAAACGAGAGAGGTGAAATAAGGAGAGTGAGAGATAGTTACGTAGGTATAGCTCAGGAGTGTTTGGGCGAGAAATACGGCGGAAAGTTAGTAAACACGGCACAGATCATCGAACTTCTCATGACTTGCATCCTATATGTGGTTCTTTGCGGAGATCTACTGATCGGCTCCTTTCCAGACGGGATTATAGACCAGCGCTCATGGATGATGGTCTGCACTATGCTTCTGCTTCCCTGCGCTTTCATTACTGACCTCAGGATTGTCTCCACTCTCAGGTATTTTATCAATTGGTTAACAATTATATTCATAAAACTAATCGCAATTTTTAATACAGCTTTTGGTGTACAGTCACTCATATTATAATCAATATCATTATATTCGGCTATTGTTTTATTCAAATCGGTGACTGGCAGTGGTCTAAGGTATGTCCAAATAACATTTATATTAAATCTATATTATTGTTACTTATTATAATTATTACAAACATTTAGGTCACCTTTCGTCTGGATGTACAGACATTCCCAATAATGTTGGGAATTGTTGTGTTTAGCTATACATCACAAATATTTCTGCCGGGATTGGAGGGTAATATGAGAGATCCCTCCAGATTTGACTGTATGCTCGACTGGAGTCATATCGCCGCCGCAGCTTTTAAAGTATAGTTTGAATACTAATTTATTTCTTAAATATGTATCAAATTGAGAATAGTTTGTTGTATGTTGTATAGTTCCGGGGTTTGTTATATACTTTAACCTGGATTATCTGCAAAGTTTTGGGATCTATCTATTAAAATGTATTTGAAATGTTTAGGGGCTGTTCGCGTACATAGGATTTATGACATTTGGAGACGAGACCCAAGAAGTGATAACAAACAATTTGCCGACAAGAGGATTCAAAGATTTGGTCAATTTAACGCTTGTAATCAAAGCACTGCTCGCATACCCTCTTCCCTATTACGCGGCCGCAAGTCTCATAGAGTCGGCATTTTTTCGCGGAAAACCAACAGATCAACGACCAGATGGAGAAGGCATACAACCCTTCCCCACGTGTTGGGCCAGAGATAACGACCTAAGAGTATGGGCCGTCGCTCTAAGAGTAATGCTTGTGCTCTTCACTATGTTTATGGCCAGTAAGTGACGAATATTCTGTGATTCTGTGATCAATATGAATGAATGAATGCCTAAACCTATTGTTCCGTTAGTCTCGATCCCTCACTTCGCTCTGTTGATGGGACTGATCGGTAGTTTCACGGGAACCATGTTGTCGTTTGTCTGGCCGTGTGTTTTCCATATGAAACTCAAGTGGAATACAATGGAATTCAATACAATCACTTGGGAAGTGTTCATCATCTGCATCGGTGTCTTTTGTGGTATAATAGGCATATTCACCAGCTTATCCGCGTTAATAGACGCCTATCATATTCCGCTACCATATCCCGGTCCACATCCACTTCAGGGATAAGTCGACACGAAATGCAATCAATAATTGTGTAATTATTTAGCAAACTTTCACAAATACACACTTCAAGTACTATTCATCATTTAGAAAGACTTTTTATTTTGAAACCATTTGTTGTGTTTGGAAACCAAAATGAATTATTTTCAACAATTTCAATCTAAAAATGAACTTGTTAATTTTGTGCCAATTCTCTACATTGCTTTCAAAGATTTCCGGCGATAACGTTGTCTTCCATAAAGATATTATCAATTTGTAAATCATTTACTTTAAGGTATATCTGCCTTAAGAATGATATAAAATTCTATATCTCTATTAATCTATAGATATAAGTTATATCATATAACCAATGAAATCATTATATTCAATAGCTTATGATATCAATATAATAACATATCAATTATAACATAAACTCTTAAATACTAATCTTAAGGATGTGTTCACCAGACAAATACACATTCATTGCGTTGTTAGCAATCTTTCATTGATTTGAACAAACAGTTTATAACATTAAATAATTTATCATTAGATTTACTAGTAATGAATATTAGCGCCAAAACTCAGACATCACATTTATTTATATTTTTTAAATTTTTTATTTAATTACCGATTTGTGTTGTTATTAAATAAGTATCAATTATGACATTATTTAGCGAAAGGAATTCAATTGTTTTCCTAAATATATCACATTTCCATATAAAGTAAAGTACAACTAATTGTGACCCAAATATTGTCACATCTAATAGTATTTCAACATTTATGTCAAATGACAGATAAATACTGGTATTAATTTTATTATTAAATTATTTATTTATGAAATCATTTAATTGTCGAAATTCAAGAATTATTTAAACAAAATCACTAATTATATATCGACTAAAAAGTAATGATATATTTAATGAATAATTGTTGAATTGAGTCGAAAGCCTATCCAATAGTAGGTGTGAATATATTATCTTTTATAATGGTATCAACCTTTGGGTGCAGATATTGTTTGCACCCTTTTTTATGTTTGTTTCAAATTAATTAACGAAAGATATTATAATTTATACTTTTGTTATAACTTTCAAAGAGATTTTTGTTAAACATCTTTAGTATAACTTGTTTTTACATTAAAATTCTATGAAAATATGTTATTATTAATAATGGCTTTTAAGAAAAAGTAAAACTCTAAATGTCTTCCATTATATCAAACTTATTGTTAAGAAATGTTTCAATTGTGCCGTATATTTGACTTAATGAATGAAATTTAAATATTATCTTTAAATGCGGTCGACGTGTGATTCACGTCATTATATGAATAAATTCAGTAATAATAATGACATTAAAAACTGAGAATTTATTGTCAATTGTAATGTTTGCAAAACACTGTATTAATAGTTGATTGTTTAAAAAATAAATATTGAATATTATTAATATTTACGAATAGATTTTGATTTTATTTGTTTTTATAGAATGGTCACTCAAAATATTATAATTATATATTATATTTAAATTTATAAAATATAGAAAAACTTCAAAATTCTTTATAAATTATACAAATGTATAAAAACTTTGGTTGAATTAGTGTGTAATGAATTCACTTAACTTCAGCGAGTGCTATACTGTACAATACGTGTGCATTCATTTCAACATAATTTAAATAATAATTACAACAATTAATGGCACAAAAAATACTTTATATACGAATGAGAGCTCCGCTCAAACGAATCCACTGTTTTCTTGGAGAATTAAAATGAATTATAAAGTTATGAAATTGTATTACATATAAGTGATGGTCTGGTGTTCATCCAAGGACTCCATCGAAGAACTCCGAACTTTTAAGTGATTAATTGCGGAAACAGATAATAAAACAGTGAAAACCTNAAATTAATTATAAAGTTATGAAATTGTATTACATATAAGTGATGGTCTGGTGTTCATCCAAGGACTCCATCGAAGAACTCCGAACTTTTAAGTGATTAATTGCGGAAACAGATAATAAAACAGTGAAAACCTATTTTAAAAAAGGAAATTTGAAATACAATAAAATGTTAAACCGAAGGCCAATATAATTGTCTCCGAAATGCAGTCTTACTTGAAATAAGAGAAATCCACCGAACGATGAAATCCATACCATTTTATGAGTAAATATCCAGTCAACTAATTTGTCTTTGCAGCCAATCTATTCAAACAATAATTCAATGAATTCATTACATTTATAATAAATATTTATATTTATGAATATAGTATAAGACTGACTCGATTTGGTTCGCGAATGGGAGTGATCTGGGCATCAGTTCCCGTGCCGTTACGGATGTATTCAATTCGATAACAACTTTCGTCTATTGGATCCAATTTAGAGGCGAATTCACTCAGACCTGCGATACCACAGCATTGGAACTGTTTGAACATACCATTCATTGAATGCAAAGACATATTGTGGTTATTCACTGAAAATGTACTCATAAATCAATTAATGTAAACCTGTTCTTGAATTATATTTCTAGTCCTTTGATTCACTTCATCCCATCCCTGCTCTACAATATCAGAAACTTTGGTCTTCAGTATACTTAATGATATGATTCCTCCAATTTCTGCGGCAATCGTCATAACACAGAGAAATAAAAACTATTAAAAGAAAAAATAATATTTTAAAAATTGCATTATAAACCATTTAAATTTTAATTAACATGAAAAGGGGACATTATTAAAATCAATCCAATGATTGCTTTATTAAATATTATCTATAAAGATAAATAAAAGTTAATGATTGCCCTAATTTTGTGACTATTATTGATAATTAATATAATTTTTAATTATTAGCCATGAGTTTGATGGAAAGGAAACTGAAAAATATTTTTAAATTAAAATTTACAAAAATAAGCATAGGTAATTATAATAAATAACATTTTAGGCGTTAATAACTATAATAAAGACGAGTAAAGTTTGATTTTAATTTGGATAAAATAGTTTATAAATTACAATATATATAATAACTTAATAGTAATTATTCATATTCTATATACAGTATTACCATTTTAAGCATACAGCCTCCTCGCTTGTATGAGCCCATCCACCCTAACAGCCCTTTCAAATAAAAAGACAATGTGTTTAATGTTATTACCTAACGAATCAATTATTTATTACAGTATATTAACAATAAAATAAATTTGTTATACCATTGAGGAAAAGTAGAGTTCCTAATCCAAGTCCAACATAAGTCAGCGGCTATAGTAAATAAGGGTTATATAAGGGTTATATAAGGGTTATATAAGGGTTATATAATGGGTTAAATATTAAATATTCTAGTTGTCAGTATCTGTCAAATAAAACATTTTCAAGACTCACTAAAGTGCCGCTAAACAGCCTTTTCATGTTGGCTGATGTGCCCAAAGCCCACAAAGTGTACGCGATTATTATACTGCCTGTGAGCTGTTTACCAAATATAATCAAATAAAACATATATTATTAAGATTTGCTTCATTCATATGTTTATTCTTAATTGAAAACAATGAAAGTCTTAATTTAGGTAATATATGGCGAGCCCTCACACACACTGTCATCCCATTTATGAGAACAAGAAGCCCTCAAAATTCTTGTATTTACTATCATTTAGTATCGTTTGTCACAGAAATGCTTCTCTCAATTGGATAATCGGGTCAAATATCTGTGAGATTTATATTTGTGTACCCGGTGGACAACATTTACACTCAATTTTATGACTTTTTCATTTAATGAACTCTTTTCGTGGTCTATATTTATGCACTAATAGAAAACTGATCCATAAGTTGTTAAATAAAAAAAAACTTTAAACTTTTTTCCAAAAAAGTAATGACTATTCTCCCTCCTATAGGCAATAATGAAATTTTATTTCTTTGTTTATTTTGTTTGTGACGGATATGTTGTTTGAGACTAAAAAGTTTGAAATCTATTTATAAAGGAAGTCAACGCTCAACGAGAATAATGTCTGAATCGACGCTTACATTATATTAGATTACCAGTATGAATACAATTCATTACCATTTCCTCATATAATTCAATTCAATCCAATAATTGACAAAAACAGGACTGTTTTGGTCTACCCGTGAGTCTATGGGATAGTATAGACTTCATACATAACTCCCATTTACTAACTATTGTTCTCAATATTGTGTGAAATCGGAAGTCAAAGTGTTTGCGAAGGATTTCCTAAACACCAATTCATTACTTTCTTTTTTGTTATCACTTTATTGAAAACCAATATTTTGAAAATGTTTGTCTTAACTGATCATCAATTTATAATTATAAAATTCAAATATCATGTAATAGTTTTTAGCTAAAGTTATAAAATGTCATAAATAAAAATTAATAATATAGCAATTTTACAGGATATACACAAATGTTAACACTTAAAACAAACATTCTTGAGTTATTAACCATAATACAGTTATTTATATTGACCTTAACTTTGTCCCACAAATTTACTGAACTTTGAAAGGAAATTGAAATTTCAAATTTATAACATACGGTAACTGGAAAATAACACATTTTGTATCAATTGATTTCTATTTTACAACTAATTGATTATTATATATAATTAAATTGAAATACAAATACAAAGGAAATCCAAATATGAACTCAAACAAAATGTCAAGACATTTATACAGACTTATACTGTTAGTCACTATAACTGTTGCACTAATTCGTGATTTCGCACCAATTTTGCACCAAATTAAGCTCAACTTTATATTTAGGTTTCAATATTGCTTTATTCATTTGTGAATTATATTTTGAAATGGTAATTTATTTACAGGTATAAGAAATTTATGAAAAACTTATTTTACTGTAAAAATCTTAATTTACAAAATAATCTTAATATGTCAAAAGATAATGTTTTTATATCGGAAGCGCTATACTGTATTAAACTTTGAAAGCATTTTAATAACTTATAGTAAATGAATAGACAGTTTTAATTACATTGAATATCAAATTATCAGCAATAATATAGTAATTGAAATTTAAAACAAAGTATATTCAATAGAATCGACTTTAGGATATGATTTACAAAATATTTGTCTCGATTTCAAACGAAAACACATTAATATTTGAAACACACACTCATGTGATATAATATTCACTATTGTATTACAGAATCAAAGCTTAGAAATCAAAATGTCAAGACATTTATACAGACTTATACTGTTAGTCACTATAACTGTTGCACTAATTCGTGATTTCGCACCAATTTTGCACCAAATTAAGCTCAACTTTATATTTAGGTTTCAATATTGCTTTGTTCATTTGTGAATTAAATTTTGAAATGGTAATTTATTTACAGGTATAAGAAATTTATGAAAACTTATTTTACTGTAAAAATCTTAATTTACAAAATATTTATATGTCAAAAGATAATGTTTTTTATATCGGAAGCGCTATACTGTATTAAACTTTGAAAGCACTTTAATAACCTATAGTAAATGAATAGACACTTTTAATTATATTGAATATCAAATTATCAGCAATAATATAGTAATTGAAATTTAAAACAAAGTATATTCAATTCTTAGCTGAAATCCTATACTAAATGTTTTATAAACAGAGCTAAAGTTTGCTTTTGTGTAATTATAAACTTTGTGTGTGAGTACACTATATTATAAGTGATAACATAATGTCTTAGTTTCGAATCTTTCATTAGACTTAATTTGAATGAAAGAATTAGTGCATAAAATGAGTGTTCGCTATACTATACCACAAGAGGTGAATGTATTTTCACATTAATTTAGTTTTTTAAAACTTCTCATATATTGTCAACAAACATAAGAAATACTGTTTTGACAGCAAATAAATTGTTTATAATAAATATTAGGATGCAATGGATACATACCCAGGTGAAAAATGCTAGCAAACACACCAAATGTTTCACTAAACCCGCGATACATCCCATTATGAAGTGTTCAATATTTTCTTTTGTGAATATTTAGCCACAAATAATTGATTATTCAAAATCACAATAAGACAGTTCACTTAATCGTAAGCCACACCAAAAGCAATCACATAATTGTTACCATCAAAACAAAGTTGACTATTAATACAAATATGAAAAGTGAAATAACTTATGAATTTCAAGAAACACACAAATGCTTGGTTTGAGACAATGTATGATATGAGCCAACAGTGAGTCCAACAGTTGTGTTGCAGTGGTTAACACGAACTGCACTCCACTGTCGACTCGTTGTTGGCATTCACCACAAGATATGCTTTCTTTCTGTTGGTTCGCTTCACTGACTTCACAGTCACTCAACAGTCATGAAGACTTCTCCTTTAAAACTTTTTTGTGTTATTTAACTCCTCATTG